AAAAAAAAAATAAAAGAAAAAGAAACTGTCCAGATGACCTGACTGAAAATTGTTGGATGGCTTGATCATCTTGTTTTGCGTTTAATACTCCAGTGATATTTAAGTTTATAAAATGATGACCTATACGGTGCATCCTGGTAATCAAGAAAAATGACAGAAAATAACCTGATTGTGCAATATTTTACACTCCAGTGGCAGGTATGTTCAATAAACAGAAACATACGTGTCCCCAAGGACATTTGCACAAGGATGTATGGGTCAATAAGCAGATGGAGAGAAGAAATCCCCGTCTCATCAATATTTGTCTTCTGAAAACTAAAACTGCAGCTCCAACAAACTTTCTGAAGGTGACGAGCTCAACAGAAAAAGTGAAAAGTCAGATGTGAAAAACAAATGTCCGGTCTAATTTGCCTGGTACTTATCACGGCCTTCAACAGCCCACTGTCACCTGAGTTTCATGTTTTTTTAGCCGTCCTGTGCAGCTGGTGCTGAATGATGGATGACAAGCTCGGATCTGGATTACTGAGATGGGCAGAACCAGGGCCGAGCTCGTCACAGCAGGACAGCAGGAGGCTCGCAGGGAGATAGTCTAGTCTGATCGGCCTTGACAGTCCTATGGCTTCAGACAACTTGGCTCGACATGCACAGATGAGCGCGCACGAGCAAAGAGACGCTCTGACGGCTTCTTCGGTGCGCTGAGGAGGCAGGGAGACAACGCTGGAGGGTGAAACCTCCAGAGAAATCAGTGAACAGAAACAGATGAGTGTTTACTGTGACACCTCTTAAGTATTTATGGGCAGAAACAAAACTGCAGGGTTCATGTGAGCCTTTAGAAAAGCACCATGAGGAAAACCTTTGGATTTAAAAAAAAATATGCAAAAAAATAAACTGAACGTAAGAGAATATTCCACTCTGGAGAATCAAAGTTTTAAAGTTACAAGTTACACATCTTCAGCTGATATTAGAACTAATAGTAACAGTTTGTGTTGAGATGACAGGGACATTGATCGCAGGTAAACTTCCTGCTTTTAGGTGAAAAATGTGAAACAATAAGTTCTGCAAGGATTTGTATTGTGAACAACGAAGCTTAGAGAAGTAAAGCATGCTTGAAGGGTTTTACAAATCTGCTGTTTAACTTTCCTTTTTCAGTCAACTCGGACCATTTTATACATTTTCTCTCTGAAAAACAAGATGTTTCTTTGAAACTTCTTTACAAGATGTTTAATTTAATTTAACGTTGTCACAGCCCTGGTGTTCTCAGTTAAAAATGACCAATCATTAGAAAAGATTGTTATTAGGCGTAAAATTCACCTCAGCAGATGGACATGATTCACACACGCTCAGATGTAATTGTTGTACAGTGCCACATTCACACACATACATACTGCCCTTATTGGTTACCGTAGCAACCTGTTTTGAAATGTGTCCTCATCATGGGAACCTCACCTGTTGGCACTCTCTAAAACAATCCCAACATTGTTTCAATGCAACAATGACACGGAGTGTGGCCAGAACCCTGACATGGAAACTGTCCTTGAGTCAGAAGTTGAACATGAATCTAAATATAATCAAAACCAGTAGACAACTGGTGTGTAACAACTGAGTCATGAGGAAGATGCAGACGTTGTTAGACTGAATAAAAATGTATTTAGGAGAGATTGTTTCAGCTGAAATGTAGTTCATGTTTGCTCAGCACATGCAGCTGTTTAACATGTAAACCCGACAGACTGTCGACGTTTGATTGTTCTTGTTTTAGTTAGACGTTCTGTTGTTGGTATTATTCATGTGTCTCTTTGCTGTCCTCTCTGTCCCCAAAGGGTCAAGAAAGATGGACACCCATCCTCAAGGATTTAAGCTTCTTTATTGTCATTTGCATTGCATGTGGTACATGAGGTGGAACAAAATTATGTACACAGGGTCCCAGTTGCATCCAACAAAAGTATAAAATGTCAAAGAAAAACAATGATAACATCTAAGATATGAACTAAGAAAAACATCAACTAACTCCCAGTTATATTGTAAAAAATTTTTTAAAAAAGTGTAAAAAGAAACAGTAAATAAGGATCAAAGATATACGCTAAAAGATGGAAGATACGCTAAACACTAATAGTGCAAAACAAAACGCCGAACAACAGCAGCACGATTCTCATGGGTTCGGTTCAGCTATAGGTGCACGCTTAATGTGAGCGGAGTCGGGCTCGGAACCGACCCCAAGACTAACATAAACTGGGATTTATTCATGCAACAAAAATACGAACAAGGCACCAAAAGTGAAAAATAAATCAATCTACAGCAGTATGGTCCTGAGGTTATCTTAGCAACATGGTCCAATTAGCAGCATGGTGTTAGTGTGGTCTTGTTAGCAGCATCCTGAGCCTGGTTCTGGTTCTGTTGGTGTTTTTTTTCCTGTTAAAAGAGAGTTTTCTGCTGGGACCAGTCTGACTGCTCAGGGTTGGGGATCACCTCAGTGCAATCTGCTGGCTTTCTTGGACAACTTTTGCTAATTGGCATTTTATTGTGTACTGGCTGAAAACGAGGTAAGAGCAGCCAAAACGATGAAAGACCTTCAGAAAACTAAAAAAATAAAATAAAATAAAAACATCATAAGACTGCAAACTAATCAGGTTATTTGGAAGAAAAATATAGATTCTTGTCATTAGTTATATGGTAAAATGCAATAATATATAATGTGATTATTATTAGTCAGTTTTGTGACTTTGAGTACATTTAATCTTAATCACAATCCATTTATTGGGGGTTGGAAATGATGGTTGATATGAAGAAGTATGTGGTTGTTATAAGCTGGACACAGTTTACAGTAACAACCACAGAGGCCTATAAACCACTAGAGGGCGCTCTGCCATCCCGCCCAGTGTTTGTGTTTGTGACAATGTGGAGAAGCTAAGATGGCGTCTAAAACTGGCAACAGAACATCAGTTTAATTATCTGCAAGCCCAACTGGATCTGTGTCACATATAATTTTTCATATCTTTAAAATAACGTATCGTATTTTTCGGACTATAAGGCGAACTTAAAATCCTTAAATTTTCTCAACAATCAACAGTGAGCCTTATAATCCAGTGCACCTTATGTTTTAATTCTGCTTGTACTTACTGACCTCTAACCAATTTTATGTGGTACACAGCGCTCAAAAATCTGTCAAAATGAACTTATTTCACTTAATGCGCCTCATAATCTGGTGTGCCTTATAGTCCGAAAAATACTGTAATATAATTTATAATCACTGTTAATTTGTACAAGCATCATGTAAATCAGCGAGATGTTGTAGCTGGGTCTAACTAATGATGATCTAAACTAGACGAAGTCAGTCAATAATTAATTATGATTTCAAGGCTTTTTAGCTGGTTGAATAATCATGACTTAGACTAGTTGATGCATTTGAAACTAGTTTTATAAGATACTTTTAAAATGTTACATTATTAGCTTCTGGTCGGATCACATTCAGACTGAGGCAAATAAAATAAAATCTGTTGACTTGTGAAAGTCAGCAGATTTTAGTTAGATCCATGATATAAAAACAAGATGGCGCCAGTGTTTGAGGCTCGCTGTCTGCTGCTCCTACTATTTTTTCTGTTGTCTATTTTTATCCTCAATGCAAGTGTAAACGCTCGGATTGTCTATGATCGCCAAAAATTGCTAGACATTGGAGCTTCGATTGGAGCCTCGACTGGTAATATGTTATCGTGGAATCCTACTAGTGGAAAAACCCCGCCCTTGTTGCTGGGCATTCCAGCTTACCTGTGTCGCTTCTGGCCTCTACCTTTTCGACGGAAGCGCCGTGGCAAACGTAGCGGCTGGTTGGTGCGTTTGAAGGCTGCTTTGGGGCATCGATGTCCAGACCCATTCAATGTTCGTGGGCGGGTGCCGCGCCTCTACTTCCCGTTACGTGCGTTGGATCCTGTGGGTACCTGTTTAGTGCCTGTTGATGGAGGCCATGATGGACTGTTCCAGCCCCGTTTTCCCTGCACTCCTCGGCCCTATAGACGTGTGGTGAATCTTCACAACCTGCGACCTCTTCGCCGGGAATCTCGGACGTCAGATGGTGGCGGAGATCCGCCAATCTCTGCCAGGATCGGTCTGATAAATGCTAGGTCGCTAGCAAACAAAACCTTCGCCATTAAGGATTACTTTTCCTCTCAAAGCCTGGATTTCTTATTCATAACGGAATCTTGGACAACTGGTATGGGTGAGTCCAGCGTTTTTAATGAACTCTTGCCGCAAAACTGCTGCTATTTCAATTTTCCAAGGATGTCTGGACGAGGAGGAGGAATAGTAGCGGTTTTTAAAAGCTGTTTTACTTGTAAACAGTTGCATCCAGTCCGTTTTGGTAGCTTTGAGCTTGGTCTCTTTGAACTTCTTAGCTCCCACACAGTGTTGTGTGCGGTGGTCTATCGGCCCCCTAAATATAACAAAAATTTTATAAGTGATTTTTCTGATTTCTTGGCTGATATCATGCCACGATATGACAGAGTTTTATTGGTTGGTGATTTTAATATTCGTATCTGTTGTCCTACTTCACCTATGGCTCAGTCGTTTCTTAATGTTATTGAGTCTTTTAATCTTGTGCAGTCTGTAACTGGTGCTACCCATGAGCATGGACACACTCTTGACTTGGTCTTATCTTATGGTCTACCAGTTTTTAATTTAGTGATTGGTGACCCATTATTTTCAGACCATATGCCTGTTTTATTTGAGATAAAGCAGTCTATTACTAAGGTTAAACCATGTGCACCAGTTCGGTTCTGTTGTGTTCTTAACCCTTCTACTGCTGTTCAGTTTTCTTCTGTTTTTAATAAGAACTGTACAATCCCAGAGACTGTCAGAAATAAAACCGAGGATATCAGCAACTGGTTTTATTCTACTAGCAAAGCAGCTCTGGATTCGGTGGCACCGTTAAAAACTAGACTTGCAAAATCCAAACATGAACCCTGGTTAAATGACGACACTCGGGCTGCCAGGAGGAACTGTCGTAAAGCTGAACGAAAATGGCAAAAGGATAATTTGCAGGTGTCGCTGCAAATATTAAAGGAATGCTGGCGCTGTTATCAAAGGATTGTAAAAGACGCTAAAAGAAGATACCTGACAAATATAATTGTATCAAACAGTTGCAATCCAGCTATTTTATTTAAAACTATTAACTCTGTTCTAAATGCCCCACATGGTGCTTTTGTGGAGACTTCCCCAGCTGTTTGTGAAAGCTTTTTAAACTTTTTTGTTGAGAAAGTCACTTCTATTAGGGCACAGATCATACCCATTGTGTATGACCCTATTGATACTGTGTCTTGCCCTGCTGTTTTTAATAGCTTTGAATGTGTGACTTTGCAATCCCTGCAGGAGGTCGTTAGTCACTTGAAGCCAACTGGTTCTCCAGATGATGCTATTCCACCTCGACTGTTCAATGAGGTTTTTCATACTATAGGTCTGTCGATCCTTGCTCTTGTTAATAGTAGCTTGTCCTCAGGTGTTGTTCCTGAAAATCTGAAACATGCAGTTGTCCAGCCTCTAATTAAGAAATCAAATTTGGATCCTGCTGTCCTAGCGAACTACAGACCAATTTCAAAATTGCCTTTCATCTCGAAAATTCTTGAGAAGGTAGTTTATAAGCAACTAATGTCCTATCTCATTGAACATAATATTTTAGAGATTTTCCAATCTGGTTTTAGATCACTTCATAGCACAGAGTCAGCTCTCTTAAAAGTTTTTAACGATATATTTTGGGCAACTGATTCTGGTGATTGTGTTGTTTTGGTGTTGTTGGATTTATCAGCTGCTTTTGACACAGTTGATCACACGATTTTAATTGCTCGTCTGGAAAAATATGTGGGCCTTGGTCAAACAGCTCTAGACTGGTTTAAGTCTTATTTGACAAAACGCACTTTTTGTGTCTGTCTTGATGGCAATAGATCATCCTCTGCTCCTCTATCATGTGGTGTTCCGCAGGGCTCAGTCTTGGGTCCTCTTTTGTTCTTATTGTATCTCCTTCCTCTTGGCTCTGTTTTTAGGAAATACGGGATTGCTTTTCATTTTTATGCTGATGACACGCAGATTTATTTACCTTTAAAGAAAGCAGATTCCACTTCTCTTCGGTCTCTGTTTCTATGTTTGGAGGATTTGAAGGCATGGATGGCCCAAAATTTCTTGAAATTAAATGAAGACAAGACAGAGGTAGTGATTTTTGGCAGCTCGAATGAAGACTCTCTGCCTGTTGATTGCTCTTTGGCTCAGTATGTCAGGCCAGTTGTTACAAATTTAGGGGGTCAAGATGGATGCTGGTCTTAGGATGGAGTCTCAAATTAAAACAGTTGTAAAGTCAGGCTTTTTTCATTTGAGGCAGCTGGCTAAAGTAAAACCAATTCTTCCCAGACAGCATTTTGAAACAGCAATCCATGCATTTGTGACCACACGGCTAGATTACTGCAATGCACTTTACATAGGTATTAGTGATTCATGTATTTCCCAGCTTCAGAGGGTTCAGAATGCAGCTGCACGACTTTTAACAGGTACACGGAAATTTGACAGTATTTCTCCTGTTTTGGCCTCTTTACATTGGTTGCCGGTGCATTACCGGATTCATTTTAAAATACTTTTATTTGTTTTTAAAGCTTTAAATGGCCATGCCCCTCCATACCTGTCTGAGCTGCTACATTCTTACACACCCTCTCGTTCACTCAGGTCAGCTGACCAGTTGTTTCTGAAGGTCCCGAAGACAAAGCGTAAGCTTAGAGGGGACCGAGCTTTTTCTGTGATAGCTCCCAGGCTCTGGAATGACCTTCCATTGAACATAAGACAGGCCTCTTCAATTGAGGTTTTTAAGTCCCTTCTTAAAACTCATCTTTTTTCTTTGGCCTTTTAGCACAATCTGAGATGTTTTACCTTGTTTTATTGTGTTTGTATTTTATTTTATTATTTTATTCCTGTTTTAAATTTTACCCTTCCATTTTATCATTGTATTGTATTATATAATTGTGTAAAGCACTTTGGTCCTGTTGGGTGCATAAAGTGCTCTATAAATAAAGTTGGTATGGTATGGTATGGTATTTTCTCTTCTGTTTCTACATCCATAGCACAAATAGCTTTCTGACATTTATATATACATTCTAGTTATTATTTTATAACAGACATTTTATTATAGTCAGCCCTTATTCAAATGTTTTTAGACAAAACTCCAAGTGCAGGCGTCTGCCTATATTTGGTAATGGTATTTGGTATTTGGTCCTTATCAGGGAGTGGTGGCACACCATGTTTAGAGAAAGTGGGACTGTGATCGGAAGGTTGCCGGTTAAACTCCCTGCACCAACAACATCAAAATGTGGGTGGGAAAGGTCAAACATCCACACCTGCCTCCACCCTCATTTGCCCCACTCTGGCACCACTCTGAGACTTGAGCAACGCCCTTAACCTCCATCATCTGCTCCCCGGGCGCCCTATACAGCAGCTCTCTGCTCCACACAGAAGGCTGTGGTAGCTCGGTGGTCTGTGGTTGCATCAGGAAGCGTAAAAACAATTACCAAGTCTTTGTGTGAGATAGTTTGTTGTGGTAACCCCCGAGGAAAAGAGCAGCCGAAAGAAGGAGAAAGAAAAGGTAATGGCTGTGGATCACAAGGTCATGTGACCAGTGCGCCCTCTAGTGTTTTATATAACTCTACAGTAACAACCCAGTCCTGTGAACAAAACACTAATCAACAACAAATGTGATGGAAAATGATGTGTACACATGATGCCCCTTCACGTGATGCCTGTCCCCTCAAATATGCTTTCCTAGAACCGGCCCTGCTCAGGTAATCCATCATGCTTCAGGGACGGAGGCAGAGTGCACTCTGTGTCTGGATCTACACTTTGTTCACATGTGGAAGAGAGAAAAGGGGAAAAGGCTCTTACTGAACGTCTCAGCGTGGCCATTATCCAGACTGACCTTCGTCTCCCATTTCCTCCCATCAAGGGAGCTTAGCGAGACAGGATTACAACCAATTACACGTCTCCCCAGAGAGCATGAAAACAGGGCTGAGGATCATCTATTTATTGTGTATGACCCACCAGATGGAGGATGGTCATTTAACATTTAATCAACTCCAAGAACTCGAGGATCAAAACTGAACAATTCCTGATAGTGAATGCGTGTAACAGATTAGGACTATTACCCACTGAGCACACAAACCACATTCAGAGGTATTATTACCTCGTTGTACTCAACAGCAGATAAAAAAACAAGATCATCCTTTAATATTGTCGCCTGCTTGGCTTGTGCTGGTAGCTATGCACTGACCTAAGATGTCAAAACTTTAGAAAGCATTGTTGACTTGTACATCTTAACAGCAATTCTGTGCAACATACAATAATTGTAATATGCATTATATATCTGCCTTTGAATCTTATCATTGGCAGTGTGGGATGGGTGTTTAGAAAATATTATTTCTTTATGGGGACCAACATTAATGGAAATACTTTATAATTCAATTTAAAATATATATAATTTAAATGCTTTTCTATGATTAAAAACAAAAACCTATAAATCAGGATCACACGTCCTCTAGTATTAATTTTTATCTCTACTGCTGTATAAAGTCTATAAAATGAGACTGATTTGAATTCACTATTTAAGACGTGTTTCTCTAATCCTTCTCTGCTCATGTGGAAGAGATTTACTATCTTACGCAACATGCTGGTGAAATTCCCCTCCCCCTCACATGGTTTGGTGTTCAGTTTATAATACAATTATTCATTTGGACTTTGTTACCAAATTACTTTGACTTTCAGTGGAGATGTTTGAACCCTCCTCATACAAAGAAAGTGTCATATCCTGCTCTACGATCGATGTCATTTACACACGAGCGCATGTAAAATACA